TGTGTCTGATTCCAGAGCTCTTAGCCACTAAGACATATGGCCTCTATAGTAGTTTCTTAGGGTTTCCATAACAAAGAACTACAGAATGGTTGGCTTAAAACAGCAGAAATTTATTCTCTCACAGGTCGAGAGGCCGGAAGTCTGAAATCAGGGTGTTGGCAGGCTTGGTTCCTTCTGGATGCTCTGAGGGAAAATCAGTTCCATGTCTTCCTCTTAGCTTCTGGTGGCTGCCAGCAATCCTTGGCTTGTAGATACATCACTCTGGCTCTGTCTTCATGTTCACATTGCCTACATCTCTATCTCTGGTTGTCTCTCTGTCCCTTTCTGCTTGTTATGAGGACACTAGTTGCTGGATTTTAGACCCAACTTAAGCCAGTATCATTTCACTTGATCTTTACCTCGTTTACACTCTAAAGACCATGTGTAAATAAGGTCCCATTCTGAGGTTCTGGTAGGTGTGAATTTTGGGGGGGACACTATTGAATCCACTACAGCATCTTCTATTGTATTTGTCCAAAGGGCTCCCATGTTATTACACATCTTCATGAACACTACCTTTGAATGGAGGTACAATATTCTCTTCCCCTGTTGGTGGGCACTTAGGTTGGAGATGGCCACACCTAACACATAGGACTCGGTGCACAGCACACAAAGGCGCTCCCTTCTCTGCGCTGACTAAGGTGCCTCGTTCGGGGAGCTGAGAGGGGGCTGGATTTCAGCCTCCACTTACCCCTTTGCCAGTCACCTTTGTGCGGAGCATGACCTCCATATGAACAGGGAGGCTCAGGTCTGAGAGAATGGAACCAGGGATGGGTTGTTACTGTTTTAGAATATTTAAGAAGCTCAATTCTGCATTTGGCTTTTCTGCTTCAGAATAGGAAGTACACAATGTCTGAATTGAAAGAGACACTAGAAAATGTCTCAGTTACATAGGAGAGAATAATTATACTATTCTGTATTAATTTGCTGTTTAGTGATTCACAAAGCATAGTTGAAATCTGTTTTTCAGTCTTAGGAAACAGGGATCTAGAAAGTTTAGCTAACTTTGCTCCTTATAATGATAAGATCTCAAATCTCTTGACTTTCCTCAGCACCTCGATTCCATCATGCTGACTCAAGTAGAGCCCTGCCCTAGCCCTGACATAATCATTATTTTAAAAAGTTTATTATGAAAGACATAGTCATCCTTTTATGTCTATATTCTAACTTCTTTTGAAACTACCTAAACCTTTCTTCCTCTCTCTTGAACTTTGCTTTGATGAATACTTTTTGACCAGATAAAATAAACTGTAAGTAAGCATTCTTACATTAAAATGACCACTTTTCTGCCTATCTTTATAAACATTCATCTCTTACCAAAGTACTTTGGTTGCTGTGACAAGCCTGATATTTTTATAGCATATATTTTAAAGGGCAGAGAAGGAAAAACAGTATCTTCTTATTCTGAAATGCAAATAACTTTTTTGAATACATTTTTTTTCAGTTTTGTAAAGAAAAAATTCAATTAATTTTCTATGGTCTAAAATAAATGAAAATAAATAAATAAGAATTCAAGCCTATAGTCTAATTAGAGATCAAAATTCTTAGCATTTGCTTTCGCCCAGGTATTTATTGTGGTTCCTTGATGGTAGAGAACACACCTGATTCCTCTCTGTGTTCCTTGGGGTTTAACATAAGGCCAACCACATACTTGGTTATTAATACATTCATATTGATTGAATGAATGGAGCAACCTCCATCTCTCCTTGCCCTCATCCATTCTGCTCTGGTCATGCTGGTTATCCAGTCTCTGAACACACTGCACTCCTTTCCATCTCCGTACCTTTGCTACGAATGTCTTTTCTCCAGTCATCCCCTTGCCAAGTTCTTACTCATCGTTTTTTTCATTTTTTTTTAAAATCTTTATTGGAGTATAATTGCTTCACAATGCTGTGTTAGCTTCTGTTGTACAACTAAGTGAAACAGCCATATGTATACACGTATCCCCATGTCCCCTCCCTCTTGACTTACTCATCTTTTAAGACCCAGCTCAAATGTCACATCGTCTGTGAAGCATTTTTCAAGGGTAAGGTGATGCCTTGTGCATCTCTATGTCCCCAGTGTCTGGCACAGAGTCAGAGTTAACTAAATGTATATTGAATGAGCGATTGAATGAACAGAAGAGACAGAGCCCACATCCCATAGCAGATAAGAACATGGGCTTATGGTCTGACAAACCCAGATTCATAGTCCTGCTTCTTGACTTACAACTCTGTGACCTTGGTCATGTTACTTCATCAGTCTGAGCCTTTGTTTCCTTGGTTTGAAATGGGGATAAGGAAAGCATCTGACTCAAAGGGTTCTTGTGAGAATAAAATGAGAACCTATATATAAAGTTTTTCACCCAATAAGTACTAAATGATAGTCTAACATTGATGGAATTGTTCTGTGGGTTTCCTTTGATTGCACTGGAGAGGTTGCATCTGGCTGACCTCAGTGTGACCATGTTGGAAATATTTTGGTTGGAGAGCCTTGGAACTGTCAGGGCCACCACCTCATTTTCCTTCCAAACTAAATGGAATAAAACTACAAAAAAGCATATTTCAACTGACTGGAAAATACTAGTTGACTAGAATATCCCTTGGCACTTGAGTCTTAGGAGAAAGAGAAAAAACCACAAAAAAGAAACGAATATAAGGGTTTTAAAACATATAGAAACCTTGCAAGTAACTTCTAGGGAATGACCTTAGAACTGCCTTCAATCCAAACTTCTGTACCTTTGCACCGTGGCAAATACACACCTTGGGGGCCGAATGCAGCCTATACACTGGTGATTTGGTCTAACACTATTAAAAAAAAAATTGAAATGGATGAAGGCAGTCAAAAAGTACTACAAACTTCCACGTATAAGTACTAGGGATATAATGTACAACATGAAAAATATAATCAGTACTGCTATATATTATATATGAAAACTCTTGAGTAAATCTTAAGAGTTCTTATCACAAAAATTTTTTTCTTTAATTTTGTATGTGTATGAGATGATGGATGTTCACTAAACGTATTGTGATAATCATTTCATGATGTACATAAGTCAAATCACACTGTACACCTTAAACTTACACAGTGCTGTATGTCAGTTATCTCAGTAAAATTGGAAGGAAACATTTTTCAATGGATGTCAGCATAACAAAAAGCAATTATGGAAAATTTCAAATATATGCCAGTTTAGAGTGATTAGTCTAATGAATCTCCATGGAACCATTATTCCAGCTTCAGTAATTAGCAATCCTCTGCCATTCTGTTTCATCCCTCCTTTCCTTTTTGTTTGTTTGTTTTGCTAGAGTATTTAAAAGCAAAAATACCGGATATCATTTATTCATGAATATTTCAGTGTGTATCTCTACCAGATAAAAACTTAGATATAACTACAGTCCATTATCACAATCAACAAAATTAAAAATAATTTCTTAATATGATCTAAAACCTAGTCTGTGTTCAGTTTTCCCTGATTGTATCAACAGTCTTTTTCCAGTTGTTTTGAGTCAAAACAAACACAGTCCACAAACTACATTTGTTGGCTTTGTGTCTTAAGTCTCTTAACTTGTAACCATTCTTCTCCTTGGTCTCCATGCCATTTACTTTTTTAAATAGAATTTTTAAATCGCTACATTTTCCCAAAACCATGGATTTGTGGAAGATCTGGCAGCACTGGCTTATGCTCCCATCAGGCAGCATTTTGCCGCAGCCTAGTAGAGGCGGTGGTCCTTAGACTATGCGAGTGCCTCTGCAATTCACAGTCCCTATTGTACCAACCAGATTAACTCCTATGTTGCCTACCCAGCCCCCGTGGGTGTTGTGCTGGCTACCTCTGACCTACATATTACATCTGTTGGGTAACGAGAACTGAATACTGAATGATGACTTGAAGCCCCAAAACATCCCTAGTCATTAAGTCAATGTTCAGTTTTGTGTACCATATTACTTAGGTAGAAATGTTTTAAAAGCCTTCAGCGAAGAAAAATCAACAAAAGATTTTTAAAAATCCTAAATTAGCTTGAAAATTTATTGATTGGTATCTCTCTTTTCTTGAGTATTCTTGCTAATCTGCTTTACAGCCTTCTATCCTGTAAACACCTTTTCCACCTGTGTCGAGGTTTGATCCTACAAAGGCCACTGAACAAGGTGTCACAAGACCCACACTTTAGCCTTGGTCCTGTATGACAAGTGGGCTTCCATCTTGCTTCTCCAAGACACCTTGTGAGGCGCAGGTAATACCAGCCTGTTTTTCAGGGTTGTTGTGAAATTCAAATGAAATGACAGATGTGAAATTAACTTGTGAACTCTATAAGCTCTACACTTAAACAAGGTATTACTATGCATAAGGATATACTGAATTATGCATAACATCCTCTTTCACACCCCTGTGCATTTACTCTGCTGTTCTTTCTCTCTGGAATGCGTTTAAGAATTAATTGCTAGTCATCTGTGGTCCTCAAACACTTTATGCCTCCTTATTTATAACATTTGTCACACTGTATCAAAGCCATTTGTTTACATCTTTGTCTTCTGCAAGATTCTAGAGTAAATTGCAATTTATTCAGTGCTCGGCACAGAGCTGACTCTCAGTAAATGTCTACTGAATTGGATAGGATTGATTTGAATAATTATTATGTGTGTACCTGTCTTGAAAGAGAAAGTCTATGTCGATACAGTTCTTTAGGTATATCACCTGGTAACTAACCAGTATTGGCTCTTGTTAAAAGCTTATGATGAAGATGACAATGATGAAATATTTTTAATTTAAGTAAGTGGTCAGACTTCTTGAGTATATTATTAGTAATTTAAGTTTCATTAACAATGAAAGAACCTAAATGTTTTGATAGAATGCCTATCATCAAAAGAATTTTTTTTTTTTTTTTTTTTTTTACAGCTGGAGAAACCTTAAGCTCCCAGTCATCATTTTTCACCCCAGTTACCTGGTTCTCTTCATTAACTTAGGGCTGCCTGTTCTTTTACAGCTGGTTTGCCATCCACCCAGTCAGCATGAACAATAGCAATCATCTTGTAAACAGCGACAATGTGGGCTATGCCTCTTACCTTTTTGAGCAAGAGAAGAACAAAGGATATCTACCTGGAGAGGTGAGAATTTATGGCATTGAAAGCGTCATCTTAATTCATTGAATATCATCATTCATTCAGTGTTCAGAATAGCTGATTCAAATCTTCAGAGGAAAGTGTCTTCATGGATGCCACATACTGACATGCTTGGATAGAAAGAATTCTCCATCCTCCCTAAGAAAAATTTTAAATGACCGTTAGCTTTGTGTCAAATACTACTGATGTGATGATTTCATAAAGTTACAATTAGTTGGATAAGGAAGGGCAAATTAATATATAATAACTTTTGCCATATATAATTTTTGATTAACTTGGAAATATGATAAACTGTGTTGTGTTTATATCTCTTGTTTTCAGAGATATAAAATTATTAAGCACCTTCTTAATGGTATAGGAATCTGAATGAGGACAAGGAATGAGTCCTTTTCTGTGGTCCAGACTTCCCTCTTAATTTCCTTTCAAGGAATTTCTACTTTCCTGCAATACGGCCTAAGTCAGAGACAACCCTAATCCATTAGAGGTGTCTTTGTAACTTTGAAATGTAGTGAGTGATGGGATCAGAGTTGGGGGTGTCCAGGAACCCAGTCCATGTACTCCAGGAAACTCGTCAGCTTTGTGTAAATTACCGACTGTAGATATTTGGCGAGGAAGGACCCTGCTCTGCTTGACCCCAGCATCTAACCCCTAACTGCAGAAGAATATATGATGGGATGAGAACCCCAGGCCCTTGCCTAGAATAAGTGTTCTGTTTCAAGATATTGTGTTGGCCAAAAAGTTCATTCAGGTTTTTCTGGCGATGTTATGGGAATATTAGCCCATGAACATCTGGTCTGATTTTTTAGCTCCTTTGTTGACAAATCTCTATTTTTTTCATTTTAGCCTGTGTTTTAGGGAAAAGAAAGGAGTTTCCCATTATCTTTTTAGTATAAAAAAAGACACATAATCTCCTATACTTGATTATCTCTTTCCCTAAGAAAATTTAAGAATTTAAGGTAGAATTGTAGTCCAGTTGGTTGAGGTTAAGGTCTTACCCTACTCTATAAGGTTTTGTGTTGTTATTTCAGGTTGAAGAGATAGAGAAAATATACACAGAGGGCACGTCTGGGTGGTGGAGGCTATGTTTAGGTTCAGTTGTGCAACAGAAAAATCTGGACTGGCTCTTCACTTTTTAAGCCAATAGGCTATTTATTTTTAAAGGGAAAATGGATATCTGAGCTCCAGGTACAACACCAGACACTAGATTGATGAGTCAGCATTTTATAACTCGTTGCACACTGTATTTCTTGTCAAAATGTTGCTGTTTGAGACACAAATTTGAAACTCTCCTACTTGAAATAGCTTTATTGATAACTGGAATATCACAAGTAATAACACGTATGCTGACGGCAATGTGAGCCTTTTCAGAAATAAAAAATTCTCTCAGAATATTGTACATCCTCCTTTTGTCGTATGCAGATGATTTTGAATAGTTCACCAGAGTGGGTTGAATGTTTGCCTTTTTAATGAACTCATTGTGGTAAATAAGAAAGAATAGGCTTTTCTCACCTTCGGAGATGGCCCACACTCTGTCTGTGGAGTGTGTTTCTCTCTAAATAAATCCACTTCTCACCTATCACTTTGTCTCTCACTGAATTCTTTCTGCGATGAGACATCAAGAACCTGAGCTTCATTAAGTTCTGAAACCAGTTGTTCTACAGGAACTGAGACCCCCACTCAGGTGGAGGATGGCGACTACCTGCTGAGCACAAGCACTAGACCCCAGACTGTTTGGAACCAGAAAGTTGATGATTAAGATTCCTAAAACACCACACTGCTACTTCACAACATATCAGTGAGAAGAAAGTCATGAATCCTGCAGCCTTCACCCCCAAATGTTGCCTTTAAAAATGCTCCCCTGAAAGCCATTGGGGAGTTTGGGTCTTTTGATCATGAGCTGCCTGTTCTCCTTGCTTGGCCCTGAAATTAAAAAAAAAAAAAAAAAAGAATAAACGGCAACTGGATGTTTCTTTTGGCAGGGACCGTATGTAGCGGCTTTTGCTTCATCGAACCTGGGAGATGTGTCCCCCAATATTCTTGGCCCACACTGCATCAACACGGGAGAGTCTTGTGATAATGCCAATAGCACTTGTCCCATCGGTGGGGTAGGTAATAATGACGTGAAATCTGTTTTTGCATCTCAAGTACATTTTATGTTTAACTATTCAACATTCATGTACAATTATGTTCTCCTCAAGTATACTCTGACCTACTTACTGCTAGCATTTGCTCTTCTCAAAAGCACCCACTAAATTGTGATTGAGTAAAATTGTAGTTTTCCATTTGATTGTTAAATTTTTTGAATGGTAAGACAATTTAGTAAATGTCAGAGATTAAATATCCTTCCCCAAAATTGGACAGCCTGAAACATTTTTCCTTGGCATTTCTGAAGTCACAATTTAGTATAAAAACTGCCTGCCTGAGACATTTCTCAGTGATTATAAAGTCTATAGGGTTTTCTAAAAATACAAGGTCAGAATTCTTTTTCCTTTCTTATAAATTACAAACAAAACAATCTTGGTGTAAAAACTCAAACCACATGGGAAGCATAAAGAGCAGTAAAAAGTGAAAGTTCCTGTTCACCTCCTTCCCCTCTACCCTCTCCCTTTCCCCAAAGTTACCACTCTCACTCCTCTTCATATGTTTATGTGTTCATGAACAACATTCTATACCTTATTGATTTTTTTATTGGTATAGGATTTGAGTTTTCTACCTAATTTGTCTTAAAAAAATCTCTTTATGACTATATACAATTCTATGTGATAAGTTTTAAAGGTAGCAAGTAAGGCTGTCCTCCCATCTTCATTTAGATTTTTGCAACTTTGACATGAGCAGCAGATTCTAGCTTCTGGGTTCTTATTCTTTGTGTTTATACGGTATTTCACCTGCCATATTGCTTTTATTAAACACTATTCCTGGGCTATTTATTTTATCCCAGTCAACCCCACTCAATGAGAAATATAGTTTTAACAATTATACTTTTCCATTGTATATTACTATTTTTATATAGAAAGTCTTCATACACCAGAAACTAACATAACATTGTAAATCAACTATACTACAATGAAAAAAGGTCTTTGTTACCATTCACTTCCAAAATTTTTACACATCATTAATTCACATTAGATTTGAGGATTACTTGTTAAATTCCAAAATTCACAGATGAAATGGTTAAATAAATTATAATACTTATTTGCAATAGAATATTATGCATCAACTTCATGTCTTATGTTGGAATACTTAATGTGGGAAAGAGCTCATAATACTAAGGAACTCAGGGTTTAGTATTGCATATTCATCATGACTGCAGTTTTGAGAATAAATGTATCATAGTAAAAAGACAAAATGAAATACACTGGTATGTTAACCACGATTTTCTCTTTTTGGCACTAGTATAGGCAGTTTTCTATTTATTTTTTGTTCATTATTTTAATTCTATTTATACTTTTTAATACTTTTTCTACAATAAGTATATTTTACTTTATAATCAGAAAAAATTACAGCAAAATCATACCCCCTTCCACAACACAATTCAGTTTCTCTTCCTTTCCCTTCGTGTTGGATTAGCTTCCCTCATGTCTGCAAGATACCAGTCATCAGTGAGGAAGGTGTGTGCTTTTTTCTCTCATACCCAGTAGGAGAGAGAGCGAGCCTCTCTTCCAACCACGGAATAAGAATTCTCTTTAGTCTGACTGTCAATTTATGTCACATGTCCATCCCTGGACCAAAACAGTTGCTGGAGAAATGGTATGTGTTGATTGGCTTAAGCTGGGTTCCAGACCAATCTTTGGCAAAGCCTAGGGAATTTCCATGATCGCCTTAGACTTATTTGGAATGAGGAATGGGATCACTGCAAGGAGAGGAATGGCTTTCTGAACAAAACCAGAAAACGCTTGAGAAAAAGAAAGAGGGAAATGGACAAATGTTGCCGTGTCTTCTGCTTTAATGTGGTTTCTTTAAAAAGTTTTTTAAATTTAGAAAATAGCTTTAATGCTTTTTAGAAAAATGATATATGGTTGTTAAAAATACACACAGGGCTTCCCTGGTGGCGCAGTGGTTGAGAGTCCGCCTGCCGATGCAGGGGACACGGGTTCGTGCCCCAGTCTGGGAAGATTCCACATGCCGCGGAGCGGCTGGGCCCGTGAGCCGTGGCCACTGAGCCTGCGCGTCCGGAGCCTGTGCTCCGCAACGGGAGAGGCCACAGCAGTGAGAGGCCCGCGTACCGCAAAAAAAAAAAAAAAAAAAAATACACACAATATTGAAAAGTTCAGAAAATGAAACTTATGTAAAGGAGCACCCCTTAATTCCACAATTAACCTGTGAAAATTTTAATAAACATCCTTCCAGACAACTTTTTTTTTTTTTTCAAAGAAGATGTTGGGGGTAGGAGTTTATTAATTAATTAATTTATTTTTGCTGTGTTGGGTGTTCGTTTCAGTGCGAGGGCTTTCTCTAGTTGTGGCAAGCGGGGGCCACTCTTCATCGCGGTGCGCAGGCCTCTCACTATCGCGGCCCCTCTTGTTGCGGAGCACAGGCTCCAGATGCGCAGGCTCAGTAGTTGTGGCTCACGGGCCTAGCCACTCCGTGGCATGTGGGATCCTCCCAGACCAGGGCTCAAACCCGTGTGCCCTGCATTAGCAGGCAGATTCTCAACCACTGCGCCACCAGGGAAGCCCCCCAGACAACTTTTTATGCACCTGTACACATATATATGTACAGTTTTACATAGATGGGATCATATTGTAAGGCTGTTCTATACCCTGCTTCCTTATTTCCAGTAAATATACTTTCAAACATTATTTAAACTAACTTCGTAATCTTTATTTTTAAGTACCATAATTTGGTTAACCAATCCCCTACTGATGAGTATTTTCTTTCCTTTCCTGCTTTTCTCCTCGCACAGTCTCTCCCTTCTTATTTTCTTCCTTCATATAAGCATGCTATGGTCACTATGCTTGTCATATATTTTTTCACATGTGTGAGTTTCACCTTAGGACAAATTCTTAAAAGTGAGTTTGTTCTTTTTTTTCAAAGCACCTCTAATATACACTACACATTGCTCAAATACTCTCAATCACGTTTCTACCCACAGTGCATGAGTGACACTTTCCCCAAACTCCTCCAGCAGGTTTGTCAATCTTTCAGTTTTTTCTAGCACAAATGTGAAGAGTTCTCTCTTCGTAGTTTAAATTTAGTAGTTTAAATTCATTAAGATTGAACTTATTATAACGTTGAATGGCCATTTACATTTTGTGTGTGTGTGTGTGAATTACCTATTTCATCTGCATCCATGGTGTTATCCATTAGGATGCTTTTTTTTTTTTGCTTTTATTTTTTTCCAGCTTTATTGGGATATATTGACATCCAACACTGTCTAAGTTTAAGGTATACAATGTGATGAGTTTTACTACAAATAAGAGAATACCCAACTCAATATGAATGAATCAAAATGTATTAATAAGGGTATTTTTTTTCTTGCTGACTTTTTAAAGCTCCTAATATATTAAAGTCTTAGTTTGTCATAAACTGCAAACTCATCCCTCAACACCCCATTTATCAGTTATCTTTCAGTCTTATGTTTTTCCCCCGGTATGGATGTTTAAACTGTCAAACTGTGTTCCATATAATTTTTAGAAGGGCCTTTCACATCGTTAGACTTTAGAATATATTCATCCATATTTTCTTCTAATACATTTTGGGTGCCATTTCTAATATTTAAGTATCCGATCAGTCGCAAATTTTTCTGATTTAAGAAGTAAAATATAGAGCCAGATGTATTTACTGATTTTTTTTTCCAGAGGGTCAGCTAGTTGTTCCAATATAATTTTAACTGAGTTTCAATTGAAGGCAATTATGAGCAAGCGCCATAGGCAGGAACCAGCAAAGAGAAAGATGTGCAGCAAATGGAAAGACCTGGCTTTAGGTAATAGCTCAGATATCAGCTACCTGTATAATCTTCAGTAACTCTAACCCACCTGAGCCTCAGTTCCCTTATTTTTAAAAGTAAGTTTCTAGAATAGAGGATTTCTAGCAACATTCATTGCTCTAATTCCGTGAATGATTTTGCTTCTCATAATCTGTAAATTAAGAGAACACCTGAAAAGAAATGCTGGAATGTGGCTTTAAAAAAATCTCTTTGCTTAGATTCACTTGTCATTTTCCATTCCTTAAAAGAATCGCTTATTTCACTAAGAACACATCTTGTGTCATTTTGTTCCAGCCTAGCATGTGCATTGCTATGGGACCTGGGCAGGATATGCTTGACAGCACACAAATCATAGGACGGATAATATATGAGAAAGCAAAGGTAAGCTGTGGGCCTGCTTCTTTCATCTTCATTCAAAACTATGCTTTAAAATCCACTGACATTGTTCATCAGGAAGCCCGTAATTGTAAGGAAGACAGCAGGAGTTTAAGCTGCACCAGGGAGTCTGGAAGACTGAATGCTGTTTATTGTCAACCAGGAAGGTTGTTTTCACAAACCACACAGGAACCTCTCTGTGACTGCTTGTGTCTGGCTTCTTATGGGAAGAACATTTAAAAGAAAGTAATCAGGAAACATTCTCTTTCAGCCAGAATGCTTGCTTCAGGTGGTTGGATGATAGATTGTAAAGTTTTCAATTCATGTGGTATGACCAGATATAACCAGACTGACCCAAATTCTCAGAAGTCTCTCAGGCCTTGGCCTGCCAAGTCACCTGACCATTTCTTTCTTTAAAAAAAAAAAATAATTAATTAATTAATTAATTTTTGTCTGCGTTAGGTCTTCGTTGCTGCGCGCGGGCTTTCTCTAGTTGCAGCGAGCGGGGGCTACTGTTCGTTGCGTTGCGGGGTTCTCACTGCGGTGGCTTCTCTTGTGGAGCACTGACTCTAGGCGCGCGGGCTTCAGTAGTTGTGGCTCGCGGGCTCTAGAGTGCAGGCTCAGTAGTTGTGGAGCACGGGCTTAGTTGCTCTGCGGCATGTGGGATCTTCCCGGACCAGGGCTCGAACTCGTGTCCCCTGCATTGGCAGGAGGATTCTTAACCACTGCACCACCAGGGAAGCCCTACCATTTCTTAACTTTTCCTTCGGTGACAAGGTAAAGCTGAGTGGCACCACTGCCAATTCTTGCAATTTGGATTCAAATTAGTCCCTGGTCTTTTTTGATATGGAAAGATCATCCATCTTACATTTTCCTTTCTTTTTAAAAGATTTTTTGATGAAGAGAGAATCTGGTCTCCAGTGAGCTTACTACAAGTTACTCTACCCTCCTTCCTCTTCTAAATTTTATCTTCCATTTTGCTTACATATTTTGTATCAGCTCCTATGGAGACATTTCTGATGGAAAAAACAAAAGATAGCTTTGGGCTGAGCCATCTCTGACAAAGATAGCTAAATCTCTTCGTTTTTATAGCTTACCCATACCTTTAGTGAGCATGGGCTTGAGAGAGGGTGTGTGTGTAAATATTTTGTCTCAAGGGTTCTAAAATGTTTCAGGAGCAATTAAGGAAGAACAAAAACACCTTGAAAACATCAGACACCAGCCAACCTAATTGCTGCAGTTTCTTTTTAATTACTGTGGTATTATCAGTGGATTGTTCTAAATTAACAGATTCTATTTAGGGTGTGCACCCCTGACACAATCTGGCCTCAGAAATTTTGTTACCATTCTGAGCCCAGTCGACATAGAGATTTGTCCCACATTCTGGATTCTCTTCTCAGCAAGGCACAACTTCCCTCTTAATGAGGAGAGGCAGGCTGCAGCTGGTGTTACTGACAACTTGAGCGTTCCCATGTGGCTGTGGAAACTGACATGGCAATAGAGTAGAAATGAGTTAGGTGTCAGGCAAAGGCATTGGTGCTGAAGCAGGGTTTGCCTCTACTGTATGATACAGTTCAATACAAACAAACCTTCCTAAATATGTTTTGACTCACATTGCCCCTAAGATTAAAAAAGCATCAATTGACCATACTGGAAAAAAAAAGAACATCCAAAGGTGAACAGTGGGTGGGGGAACAGATGCAGATGAAGTGGGTCCTGAAGACTTTCAAGCCCCCCTTTGGCACCAGCCCTGCCAGAGGACTCAAGGACTGTGAGAGGGAAAACTCCATGAGAATCCCCATGGAGGCGCCCTTGTTCTGGCAAAGAAGGTAATTTGGCCCACCTACTCCTAACCTTAAATTTTCTTGGCTGTCTTTCTAGCGAGATTGGAGCATTTGTACCATAGCCTGCATCACTGGAATTTCATATTTGTGGGAAATAGACACAGATCAGTGGTCTCAGGGCCTTCAAGTTTCTGGGAAGCTACAGGGGGTTTGGTGGAGAGATGCGCATGCTCTGTCTAATCAGACAGCAAAACAAAACTTGACTGAAAGACTCTTTTCCAAATTGGCACTTCTTAGGTACGGTTGCTGGTATTCATTTTAGCTCTTTTGCTTTTAATGGTAAGGCTGTGTGTGTTTTCTAGGAACTGTATGCCTCCGCCTCTCAGGAGGTAACTGGGCCACTGGCTTCAGCTCATCAGTGGGTGAATATGACGGACGTCACTGTCTGGCTCAATTCTACACACACAGTAAGTGTCACTGAGTCACACTGATTATGCCACAAGGGTAAAGTTCTGGGCTGATCTCATTATTGAAGTTCAACTTCTGTTTCTTTTTCTGTTTATGTTTCATTTTTGTTTTGTTTTTTTTCAATTTTTTCCTTTAGGCAAAAACATGTAAACCAGCCTTGGGCTACAGTTTTGCAGCTGGCACGATTGACGGATTTGGAACCCTCAACTTTACGCAGGGTGAGGTGCAGTCTGATGTGATTTATGGTTCCAGGTTCTGAACTTCAGGGTTCTGTTCTCTAACAAGGTTTAGTGTAACCAATACATTTACTATTTTTATTTTTTAAATTTGGGCGTATGCAGGCTTTCCAGGTTTGTACATGATTTCTCAGGGGTAGGTATCTTTTATAATTTAGCTTTCCACCGATTCAAGTAGAATCAGAGATTCTCTTTGCATTTCAATCTATGAAAGAATAGTTTTAGGGCTTCCGTGGTGGCGCAGTGATTGAGAGTCCACCTGCCGATGCAGGGGACACGGGTTCCTGCCCCGGTCTGGGAGGATCCCACATGCCACGGAGCGGCTGGGCCCGTGAGCCATGGCCTCTGGGCCTGCACGTCTGGAGCCTGTGCTCCGCAACGGGAGAGGCCACAGCAGTGAGAGGCCCGCGTACCGCAAAAAAAAAAAAAAAAAAAAAAAAAAAAAAAAAAGAATAGTTTTAAATTGGGCTGGAGCCTGGGGTGGAGTTGGAGTGGTGCAGAGCGGGAGTGTCATTGTAACTTCGACAGTATGAGTTGGCCCTTCCATCTGGTTGTTAGTGTCTCTTTCCCAGATTCCTTTATTGGAGCCCAGATTCCTCAGAACAGAAGCTTTTAGGAACCTAAAGCATATGGTCCTGGGTCTTCTTCCTGTGTGTATTTCCATGAATTTATAACTGATTATTATAGGTTTTATACTTTTATCCTGATTATCACTGTGATAACATGCACTGGTAAGTAGAGAAAGTTAAAAAAAAAATTGAAGAGTATCACCTACAGGCAATATTTTGGCTTATTTCATTCTTGTCTTTTGTATATATATATATTTTGGAACCATTAGTTAAATTAATAAATACAGTTGTAATGTGATATAGTTGGCATCATCTTTCCTGGTAATATTTCATCTAGTTTGGTCTACTGTTCTAAAATAAATAATTTTTAACAGGTTTATTGAGATATTCACAAAACATAAAATTCACCCATTTAAAGTGTATAATTCAGTGGTGTTTTGGTATATTCACAGATATGTGCAACCATTTCCACAGTCAATTTTAGAGCATTTTCATCACCTCAGAAAGAAACCCTGTACTCTTTAGCTATTACAACACAGTCTCCGTCTCTCCCAGACCTAAGCAACCACTAATCTCTCTATCTCTATATTTTCCTGTTCTGGACATTTCATATAAATGGAATTGTAAAAAAAAAAATGTGACTTTTTGCATTGGCTTCTTTCACTTAGCATCATGTTTTCAAGGTTCATCCAAGTTGTAACATGAATTAGTATTTCATTACTTTTTTTTTCTTTTTAAAAAATTGTTTTATTGAAGTATAGTTGAGTTCAACGTTGTGTTAATTTCTGCTGTACAGCAAAGTGATTCATTTATACATATCATACATTCTTTTTCATATTCTTTTCCATTGTGATTTATTACAGGATATTGAATATAGTTCCCTGTGCTATACAGTAGGACCTTGTTGTTTATCCATTCTTTGTATAATAGTTTGCATCTGCTAATCCCAAATTCCCAGTTCATCCCTCCCCCACCTTCCCTCCCCCTTGACAACCACAAATTTTGTTCTCTATGTCCGTGAGTCTGTTTTTGTTTTGTAGATAAGTTCATTTAAGTTATATTATGACTGAATAATATTCCACTGTATGGTTTTACCAGATTTTGTTTATGCATTCCTCAGTTGATGGACATTTGGGTTGTTCCACTTTTGGACTATTAGGAATAATGCTGCTATAAATATTCATGCCCAGGCTTTTGTGTGAGCATATGATTTCATCTCTCCTCTTTGGTATATGCTTAGAAGTAGAATTGCTGGATCATATGGTCACTCTATGTTTAATAATTTGAGGAACTACCAGACTGTTTCCAAATTGTTGCACAATTTTACATTCTCATCAGTAGTTCTGAAGGTTCTGATTTTTCTACATCCTCACCAATACTTATTTTTATCTTCCTTTTGGATTCTATCTACCCCCTGGGTGTGGAGTGTTATCTCATTATGGTTTTGATTTGCATTTCCCTGAAAATTAGTGATATTGAAAACCTTTTCACGTTTATTGGCCGTTGAGTTTCTTCCTTGGAGAAATGTCTACTCATATATTTTTCTTATTTTTAAATTGGGCTACTTGTCTTCTCATTACTGAGTTGAAAGGGTTCCTTATGGGTCCCATATATGCTCTAGGGATGCCCGCTAGCTGGGCTGCTTGGGTCCTTCTGCTGTGGTGTGCTGACTACTGTGGGTGGTCTCGTAGGCTTGGCTCTACCACCCGCCCCGGGTCTAGTTGGTTGCCAGGCCCAGCCTTGTGCAGAGTCTGCTGGCCACTGCTTGGTGGGACTGGGTCATGAGGCAGCTGGCTGCAGACCCACAGGTGGCCCCTGGGCTACTGCTAGCTCACTGGTGGGCAGAGCTGGAGTCAAGGAGATCCTGGGCTGGTGTCTTCCCACTGGTGGGTGAAGCTAGGTCCTGGGGCTAGTGCCAGCCCACTGGCAGGAAGAGCTGAGTCCTGGGGTCTGGCTACAGGGCCCAGGGTCCCAGAGCTGGTGTCAGACTGCTGGTGGGTGAGGCTGGTTCTTGACATGGCTAGCTGCAGGGTCCAGGATGTCCTGAAGCTTGTGTTGGCTTGCTGGTGGGCAGGGTCAGAGCCCACCTAGTCCCAGAGCTGGTGCTGGTCTGCTGATGGTTGGACTGAGTCTGCAGGCAGCAGGGGTACCATTGTCCTGAGGCTGGTGTCCGCCTCACTGGTGTGTGCGGCCTGATCCTGCATCCTCTGGTGGGCAGGGTTGTGTCCAGGGGTGGCTGTGGGTTCAGGAGGTGTCTTAAGGCAGCTTGTCTACTGGTGGATGGGACTGTGTCCCCACCCAGTTAGTTACTTGGCTTGAAATGTCCTAGTACGGGTGCCTGTGAGTTGGTGGGCAGGGGCACAGCTGGGTCCTGGAGCTAATAAGCTAGAGGGAGGATCCAAAATAGTATGTGGTAGAATGAACTCCTAAAAATGGCTGCCACCAGTGTCTGTGAGCTCCAATTGACCACTGTCTCTCTGGGAGACTCTCCAAGATTAGCAGGTAGGTCTAACCCAGGCTCCTTTCAAATTATTGTTTCTGAGCTGGGTCTCGGAGCATGTGAGATTTTTGTGTGCACGCTTTATTAGTAGAATCTCCATTTCCCACAGCTCTCTGGGTCTCCTGCAAGTAAGCCCCACTGGCCTTCAAAGCCAAAAGTTCTAGTGGCTCATCTTCCTGGAAGAGAAATGCTGGGCTGGGGACACTGATGTGGGGCTCAATACCTTTGCTCCTTGGGGAGATGCTCTGAAATTGTAATTATTTTCCTGTTGCTGGGTCACCTACCCAGAGGGTATGGGTCTTGACTACCTATATCACTGTGGTTCTTCTTTATATCTTTAGTTATAGAAGATCTTTTATGGTAGGTTCTGGTCTTTTCCATCAATAAGTGGTCTGTAAATAGTTGTTATTTTGGTGTGGCCATGAGAGGAGGTGAGCTCATGGTGTTTCTACTCCACCGTTTTGGCTGATCTCCCTACTGTGGGTTGTGTTTCCACCTTCTTCATTGTGTCCTTTTAAGCACAAAAAGTTTTAATCTTGATGAAATCAAAATGGTCTATTTTTGCTTTTGTGTCTCATGCTTTTGGTGTCATACTTAAGTATCCTTTGCTAAATTTGATGTCATGAAAACCTACCTGTTTTCTTCTAGAAGTTTTATGGTTTTAGCTCTTATATTTAGATCTTTGAGCTATTTTGAGTTAGCTTTTATATATGGTGTGAGGTAACAATCCACCTTCATTCTTTTCCTTGTGGCTATCCAGTTATTACAGCACCATTTGTTGAAAGGCTATTTTTTTTAACCCATTGAATGGGCTTGGCACACTCATTGAAAATCAGTTGACCATAGATTCATGGTCTTGTTTCTGGATTCCCAATTCTATTCCGTTGATCTGTGTTTATTTTTTGTGCTAGTATCACCCTTTAAAAAAAGAAAAATCATGCCTTTTTTATAGCTAAGTAGTATTCCATGGTTCGTATCACCCTTTCTTCATTACTATTGCTGTGTAGTAAGTTTTGAAATCAGGATATATGAGTCCTCCTACTTTGTTCTCCTTTTTCAAGATTGTTTTTGCTATTCTGAGTCCTTTGCAATTCTATTTAAATTTTAGAATCAGTTTGTCAACTTCTACAAAGAAGTCAGCTGAGATTCTGATTGAAATTGTATTGAATCTGTAGATTAAATCGAGGAGCACTGCAATCTTAACAATTTTAAGTCTTCTAATCCTTGAACATGGATGTTTTCCTATTTATTTAGGGCACGGAGTAAAGGGAGAACTCTCCTGTGCTATTAAAGTGGTATATCACATTCATTTATTCACATTTTTTGAACCATTCTTGCATCCCAGGAATAAATCCCATTGATCATGGTGCATGATCATTTTAATGTGCTATTGAATTCAGTTTGCTAGTATTTTGCTTGGGATTTTGGCTTCTATATTCATCAGAGATATTGGCCTTTTTTTTTTTTTTTTCTCATAGTGCCCTTATATGGCTTTGGTATCAGGGTAATGTTCACATCATAAAGCAAATTTGGGAGTATTCCCTCCTCCTTAATTTTTGAGAAGAGTTTGAGAAGAACTGGCATTAATTCTTCTGTAAATGTTTGGTTGAATTCACCAGTAAAACCATCTGATCCTAGTCTTTTTTTGTTAGGAGGTTTCTGATTACTGATTCAATCTTCTTACTCATTATTAGTCTGCTTAAAGTTTTCTATTTATTCATGATTTAGTCTAGGAATTTCTAGGAATTTACCCATTTCTTCTAGGTTATCCAATTTGGTGGTGTATAATTGCTTATAGTCATCTTTTTGTATTTCTGAGGTGTCATTTGTAATGTCTTACCTTTCATTTCTAATTTTTTGAAAAATTTGAGGCTTCTCTCTTTTTTTTCTTAGTTAGTCTAACTAAAGGTTTG